TTTAAATACCCTCATTAATTTAGTTAAATAATCCGCTCATGAATAATCAATTTCCAAACCAGCAAACGCAAGAACAAATTAATCCGCAAAGTCAGCCGCCAAATAAAGGCTTATTTTCTTTACCTCCTTCTTTAATGTCGATGGTGCCGTGAATTCCCTTAATGTTAGAGATGACTACTGGACAAAAGATACCGCAAATGAGTGGCACCATGGGAGAAATTCAGCAAGGTATTCAGACTATGCAAATGACTTTGGGACAAATTATCCAGCAACAGCAAAATTTAGACCAACGATTAAGCAATTTAGAAAATAGTGCTAGTTCTCAGTTCACTAATTTAATTCAGCAAGTAAACAGCATTAAGTCCATTCGTCTCTCGCACGAGAGAAAACAGATTGATTACAATTTAGAAAATCAAACCAATTAACATGTCCTTCTTCCCTGATATCACGCCCTTAATTAAGGAAATCAATGAATTTAAAACTAACCAACAAAAAAATCAAGCCCAAATCATCGCCCTGTTAGAGGAAATACGAAGTATTCTTTTAGCCTTGCAAAGTAAGGATGAAGAACAAAAAACATTATTAAAACAACTATTACCAAAATAAATATGGCTAAAGAAATCTCAGAAAACGAAACTAAAAGTCGCAAACGAATCGAAAGCATTGACACAGCCCAATTGGAATACACCTTTACTACCTCCTTAACTTATGGAACCATTATTTTCGCGGTAGTCTTAGGTTTAGGTTCCATTACTTATATGACAATTCAACAACTAAAAAAGTAAAATTATGAAAGATAAATTGTTTACAATTATTCTTCTTTATTGCTTTTACTAACAAAGAAAAAAAACAATATGAATCCAAATAATAACGAAAATCAAGAAAATACCTTACAAGCCTGAGCTACCGGTAAAGTAGCCATGTTCACAATTGGACTAATGGTCGGAATATTCCTTTACAAAGCCGGAGTATTACAAAAAGTAACTGGTAAATTATTCAGTAAAAAAGAGAGTGAGTAATTGCTCTCTTATCGCCCTATTTTAAGCAATTATGAACCAACTCAATAACTCTAACCTTAAAGATACCATTATCAGCACTTTCCAAGAAATCTTAGCCGAAGACCCTAATTTTTTCTTCACTGACCGTCTCAGCATTTTAACCTGAAAAAGTAAGAAAATAGAAGGAGCCTTAATTACCAAAGTTGGTAATATAAGATATCTTGGTTATCTGCGAAAGGATATCATGAAAATATAAGCCCTTAACTTCTAATGCTGAGAATTCAGGAGAAGAAAGTTCGGAAACTCAGCCCAATTCATCTGATAATATCGCTAAATTTCAGCAACGACAAGCACAAGTAAACAATTATGGAAAATCAAATAACCCTGAGTAATCAGTTAATAACTCCTAGTTTAACCAAAACTGTCCAACAATTAAGCACTAGTTTACAAAGCATTCAACCTTCGGATAATCAGAATGTCCGCTTAATTACTTATGCTTTGATAGCTACAGCTATCACGGGAATCTTTGTTTATCACTATATCAAACAGCAAGAAAATATTTAAGCAAAATGGTAAACTGAAAAGACTATCTTCCCGATTTCAAAGGAGCCTTAACCGGCTTTTATGAAGAAAATTTAAAAGTAACCTTAGAAAGCAAATCTGCTTATTACGAGAACTTACTGAAAGAAAATATTGATTTTTCCCAAAGAACCCAAAAAATAGCCATTGCCTTAGGAGTGGGAATATTCCTATTGTTAGCCATTGCCTACTTCTGAAAAGATGACTAGGAAAAATAAGAAATTTATTGAAGAATGCCAATTCTCCTGAATCCAAGAAATTGCTTGTTCTCAGTCAGATATTGGCCAACCAAACTATCCGAAAAAGAAATTTAACTAAAAAATATGAAGAATTTAAAATATATTGCCGTTGGCATTTTAGTGGGCTACTTAGGACTTTATGTCTATGAGTTATCCCAAAACAAAAAAGGAAAAGTCAGTGAAATTTT